ACCGATCAGGCGTCGCATTTCTTTTGGCATCTGTTCCTGGATGTACTGGATCATCAGTTGTGCCTCCGAATCGGATGCATGCCTTGAAAAAAAAAACTTTTACTTTGCTTACATGGTATAGGTCGAAAATCATCCTATGGTTCCGAAGGTTTTTATTCCCAGGCCAGGATAAGGTGCTTTTTCAAGTAATATGAATAACGGCTCAAAAATTATTCGTAATGGAGTCGCTGACGCGGCCTTTTTTATGCAAACGATGTGGAATCGAGAAAATTGAATCACTCGTTTTCACTTTACGTGACGTGCTAAACCACTGCATCATTGGCTCTTGTGCCCCAGAAACAGAGTGGGTCTATTATGTGTTGTGGAAATTTTAAAGATATAAACAGTGAATATCCCTGGCTAGAAGATTGCAAGAGGACAGGGGCCTGAAATATTGTTAATATATGCAGTTTGTTTAGCGTCACTGGCCCACCAGCGTGGAGAGGAACACAGTCCAATTTTGATAATTAATGAAAACACTGGAAGTGGGTGCCATTTAGATCTCCCAAATAAGCAAGCCTTTGTGTGCAGTGGCCTGGTAGCCTGTTATTGTTTCATCCCTAAGCTGTAAACACAGACGGCAGAACTGGCCAGATCAATACGAATTGATGCGGGCTGCCTCCAAGGCAGCTCACATCTTTCTTTTCTTCTCTGTCTCTCCTAAACAATTCACACTTTTTCTGGTAGCTTTTTCTCTGCTAGCTTTTTGCGAGTTTTCACGACATTCCAGCCACAGAGATGCTCGGCCTAGAAACTGCGAAGGACTTCGCCATGAACATTCGGTTTGCTGGCTTCTTTAGTAGCTTTCTCAATTCGTAACACCAAAAAAATGGTCCTAATTTATCATTATCAATTCCTAGTTGTTAGCAGTTTCTCAGGGATCCGCAGTAAGTTCAACTATTCCCAATTCGATCCAGAAACGTACAAAATGCGAAAAAGAAGTTCTATTAAGTAACTTACTTGTACTTAACAAGTAGCTCATAAGTAAAAGGAGACTGTCCTTCAGTGAAAAGTTCAACAAGCAGGCAGCCAAGCGAGAATATATCCATGGAATGTGTAAGGCCTTTTGAGACATCCATGAATTCACCCGGTAAATTTGGATGTAAATTCAGTTCCTGACTGGTACAGAATCGTTCTGGTGCCAAATAGCAACTTAGCCGTCGACTTGTGTCGAAAAAGAATGTGAAATATGACGGGTCATCCTGCAAGAAATATATATATAAAACAAGCGTTACATCAGTTATGCCTCACATACTATCTGGAAGAAATATGAAGTCCCAGGGCCTCGTGATATTCTAAAAAATGAAAAAAAATAATCGCCGATGTTAAAAAACTGATAAGAAATGAATGATAAAATATATCAAAAATGATAAATTAATAAAGATACCAAGGGGCAGGCGGGACAAAATCAGTACTGAGGCAAAATCAGTAAGGAAAACATGAAATAAAGTACAATTTATCCAGGTATCCATGCACAAGTATCAATTTAAAGTACCAAAGTACCAGTTTTTTTTTTTCACAAGTACCAATTTATCACCAGAAAAATCGCTTTTCAGTGCTAAGCTGATGATAGCATGACTGTAGCATAAAATATGAAGATCTTAAACAAAAATAGGGCGAGCTATGCAATGAAGGATTTAGAAATACTGCTGGTGTAGGAAAACAGGTACGAGAGAGTTAAGACGTTTCGGTGCACAATAAAGAAAGCTAATACACAATGAAGAAAGCTATATAAAGAAAATTTTTTACCGATGGGATGCTGGCCGGCTTGAAAGAGGCGAAATCGGTGATTTGTACCCAGTTCGAGCTTGAAACAAGAACGTTTTGCATTTTTAAATCACCATGGCAAACATCAGCAGCTTCACACTGGGCCAGTGCCTAAACATAGGAATTTCGCAAAAATTTCAACAAATAAAACACACGAGCTCCTACAACTCTGCAGCTAGGTTCGTCCTGAACAGGGGCGTGGAAAGCCCTTGATGCCAATACAGTTTCTATCATTTATATACAGAGCTTTGGGAGCACGATTTCTTAAAAAAAAAAAAAAAAAGAAAGCCAAAAATACACAACCTTAAATAGCTGGAAAGCAATCCATCGTTTTTCGATATCGAAAAGAAATGGACGTGTACTCAAACGATCGTAAAGTGTGTATTTTTGGAAGCGACGTGCCAGCACAACACAACGTGAAGTGACCTGAATCTGTAAAACTTAAAACAGACAAAAAAAAAAAACACGAATAAAACGAAGCAAAACCGAAAAAACTGCAAATGTGTTCTTCAAAATTAAGAATTCTTAATTTTTCAAGGTTAGTCAATCTGCAAAAAATCGAAAAATTTCCCAAAAAAGTTATTAACTCAGAAAATTTCACTTTTTTGGATATTCTCCAAAAATCGCTGTATATCTAAAACTTACGTAAACGCGCTTGAATGGACAGCAATTATATGCGGTAGATAATAAATCACGAATTTGTATAACCTGAAAATCAACAATAATGTGACTTGCTTGAAATATTGATAGTAAGCAGGGC